CTCAGTACCATTTATTGAATAAGGAGCCTTCTCCCCACTGCTTGTTTCTGGCAGTTTTGTCAAAGATCAGTTAGTCATAGGTGTGTGGCCTTATTTCTGGGTTCTCTATTCTGTTCCATTAGTCTATGTGCCTGTTTTTGTACCAGTACCATGCTGTTTTGGCTACTGTAGCCCTGAAGTACAGTTTGAAGTTGGGTAACATGATGCCTCCAGTTATGCTCTTTTTGCTTAGGATTGCCTTGGCTATTTGGGCTCTTTTTTTGGTTCTATGTGGATTTTAAAATAGTTTTCTTCTAGTTCTGTGAAGAAGGTCATTGGTAGTTTGATAAAAATAGCATTGAATCTGTAAATTGCTTTGGGCAGTATGGCCATTTTAACTATATTGATTTTTCCTGTCTATGACCATGGGATGATTTTCCATTTGTTTATGTTTCCTCTGATTTCTTTGAGCAGTGTTTTGTAATTCTCATTGTAGAGATGTTTCACTTCCCTGATTAGTTGTATTCCTAGGTGTTTTAGTCTTTCTGTGATAGTTGTGAATGGGATTGCCTTTCTAATTTGGCTCTAGGCTTAACTGTTGTTGGTATGTAGGACTGCTACTGACTTTTGTGCATTAATTTTGCATCCTGAAACTTTGATGAAGTTGTTTATCAGCCGAAGGAGGTTTTGGGCCAAGACTGTGGAGTATTCAAAATATAGAATCATGTTGTCTGCAAACAGGGAGTTTGACTTCCTCTCTTCCTATTTGAATGACCTTTATTTCCTTCTCTTGCCTGATTGCTCTGGCTAGGACTTCTAAACTATGTTGAATAGGAGTGGTAGAGAGAAGACATCTTTGTCTTATGCCGGTTTTCAAGGGGAATGCTTCCAACTTTTGCCCATTCAATATAATGTTGGCTGTGGGTTTGGCATAGATGGGTCTTATTATTTTGAGGTATGTTCCTTCAATACCTAGTTTATTGAGAGTTTTTATCAAGAAGGGGTGTTGAATTTTATTGAAAGCCTTTTCTGTGTCTATTGAGATACTCATGTGGTTTTTGTCTTTAGTTCTGTTTATGTGATGAATCACATTTATTGATTTACTTGTCAAAATAACCCTGTATATTTGCGGACAGAAATGGTTTCTGTCTCAAGGACTATAAAGTATTTATTAAAGGAATGTATTTCACATGTTTATAAAAGGAACATACTTTTTATCAGATATGGCTATCATCTCACAATGACTTTTGCAAAATTCCAAAGGAAAAACATATTCTTGTTCACATGACAAAAGCAATTTGAACATATGAATTCATGGCCTGACACCAACAAAAGTAGCGAATGCTTATATGTGTTGAAAGAGAGGAAAAAATATATGTTGTGGCAAAATGAATTTAAACCAAAGAACCCTTTTTTAAAATGTTAACAACACTATAAAGCCAGGGGGTGCTAGTATATGGTGAATTAATTTCATTGTTTGAATATAGCACTTTGTTGTCATGACAACCTGATTAAGTTGTAACCTGAAGACAATTATATCTGAATCAGCATATTTAGAAAGATAAACTGATAACTTCAAGGTAAAGTTTGATGCTGGGTTTAGGGCAGGTTAAAAAGCTATCCAGTCATTTCAGGTTGGGATTTAGCCTTGGTCCTTAAGGAGCAGCACTGATACTAAATAAGTAATTCAGATTGTTTATTAAAACTTCAGCAGAAACCAATGCCAAAAGTTTTATAGTTTCATAACAGAAAACACTTAATATGTCAAGAAAGGAGAGAAGAAAAGAGGAGGAAAGTAAAACATCACTAGTGAAAGGAATTACCTTTAATTTTAAATCACCTCTGTATTTGGACTGAGATATTGGTGATTACTCCAACCTTTTATTATTATTTTTCAATCAGGTAACTAATGTTTAAAAACAAACAAAAACCCTAGTTACTTCTACTTCATTTCTCTTTTCCTTTCAGAGATAGCAAACAAAACTATTTTGAAAGACTGATTCAATGTGCTAAGAAAATATAATTTTAGCATCTCTGACATGGATAGCATCCTCAAAACCACTCTCTATAATTATCAAATATTCTACTTGGAGCAGGAATGAGTTTTGCTGGAATTGGAAAACACTGGGAGAGGAACTTGGTTGTGTTTCTTCTTCCTACTTTTTACTTTAGAATCTAGCCCATTTCTAACTTCATTTTGGGATCACCCTACTCCCACAATGAAGGATGGCTTCCTGAACAAGACGGTGAAAGTCCAGTGTTAATTGCCTGTCCAGAACTTTTGGACCAAAACAATATGAATGCGTCTGCCAGATGGTTAGAAAGCAAACAAAGATACCAGGTGGGGATTCCTTTAGTGAACTATTCAGCTATCTGGTTATCCCAGCTTCTACCCATTTGTTGTGGCAGCATCTCTGGAAAGTATAGCTGGCAAATTCAGGCTTCCATGAGATAATATATACAGTTGTCCAGATGTGAGGCTTTGTTGTTTTTCATTTAAGTATCACAAAACTAGCCAATGTCTGTCATAGACTATGTTTGGGGGATTAAGGGTCATGGGCACTAATATGGTCTCCGTAGTGCGCATCCAAATTCTCTATTCTCATCTGGGCATGATGGCTCATGCCTGTAATCCCAACACTTTGGGAGGCCAAGGCAGGTGGATCACCTGGGGTCAGGGATTCGAGACCAGCCTGAGCAACACGACGAAACCCTGTTTCTCCAAAAAATACAAAATTAGCCAGGCATGGTGTTACATGCCTGTAATCCCAGCTACTAGGGAGGCTGAAGCAGGGGAACTGCTTGAACCCGGGAGGCAGAGGTTGCAGTGAGCTGAGATCATCCCATTGTGCTCCAGCCTGGGCAACAAGAGTGAAACTCCATCTCAAAAAAAAAAAAAAATTCTGTTCTCATGCATTTTATGAAACATTTTCTTTTTAACGGAAAAAATACAGAAAATGCCTCATGCAATTTCACCTAACTACAATTCAGGATAAGAACTTTGATTTTAACCCCAGTTCTTCCAGATTTTTAAATAAATTAGTTGCCTTGTCCATAAGATACGTGAAGAGTTTCAACTACAGTCTGTTTAGATTCTAAGGACCTCTCTTCTCATTGTATATTTTTTTCCATATTAAACTGCAAATACGCAAAAGGTCAAGTATTATATCACTTAAAACTTATGTCTGCTTGCTTTTCTTAGGAAATAGGCACCTAGCAGAGAGCATATGGTTCTTGAGCAGGAAACATACACAAGGGAAGAAATGGGTACGGAGGGACCGGCAATGACGGGAGGGGAGTTGGAGGCATTCTAGACAAACTGATTCGGAGATGGAACACAATGAAGAGCTTCCTCTCAAATGGATAAAGATATATGTAAATGGGTAAAAAATATATTGAAGACGTTATTGTACCATACTAAACCTAGAAGTGGTAGAACCCATGTCTCCTATGCCTAATGACCAAAAGAAACCATGAGACTATTCTCAAGGTCGCATTTGAGATTTGAACTTGACTTGGCCAAAAATGAAGACACAAGGGAACAAAATGATCAATCCCTTTAACTAGTTCTAACAAATAGTCTTGTTACAATCTTTCCCTGTGGCAAGGAGAAAGACTTAAACATAGACACTCCTCTCTTCTGAGTGAGATTCTTAGATTTAATGGCAAAGAACATCTTTTCTAGGGTTCCTTCTTTCTTCGCGAGGTATTTTGTACTTTTTGGGTTTATCTCAACTTGATGTACAAACTCTCTTTTTCTTTGTTCATTTAGACAACTATTTACTAGTTTTGACCTACAAGTGAGGTTTATCTGTGATGGAAAGACTGACTTCCATTGAGTGGAGTTCCATGGATAATAATAATAATTTTAGAAAGGCCATACAGACATTGAATCAGAGCAAACACCTCTCTATTCAATTTTACCAAAATCATGAATTATTTTGCTTTGTTTGTCTTTGTGGAGTTTCCTGTTTTAATATGGTTTTAATAGACAACAAGGCACAAAGAATCTTGGGTAAATAATACATGTTAAAAATAGTTACTACCTAACAATGTTACTGGAACAATTAGAGTGCAGAAAACTCTTTCACATGAGAAGCCAACTAAAAACAAAGGTTGGCATGATGCTATTTCTTTGATTCTTTTTAAATTAATACAGCACATTTGCTCCAAACTCATCTCTCCCACTTAAAAGTATTTGGGTTTTTTTGTTGTTGTCTGCTTTGCAACTCTCCCTAAAATATACCATTGTGGACCTATTCTTTGTGTAATTTTACTTTTTTCTTCTATTTTTAAATAGACACCCCTAGTGCCAATGTACATTTATATGTGAGCTATATATATATACACACATATCCTTTTTTTCCCACTCAGAGAGCAAGGGAATTATTCTTAATGAAATCTTCTTTCTAGCCAGATTCCATTAGGTTGTGTTATTCAAATGCACTGTAACATAAAATTTATTTCTTCACGTGGTGTCCAGTTGCTAAGGAACACAGCCAAAAAGTTCAACTTTGCAACACAACAGAAGAGATTATGAGAGTTGCCCATAGACACATACAGAGGCTCTGAGCAAGGGGAATTACACTTTTGTTTTCAAACCTGGAAGTGCATATTATTATTAAGAAATAGCTATTTTTATCCCATGTACAATGGAACTTCCATTCTCCTTGGAAAAGCACAGTAGCTTTTCTAGACTCATGACCTCTCAAGTCATGCAGCACATTTTAAACAGAAGCCCTATCACTTCTGCCTTTAAATGCAAAACAGGTCTCCTGAAAAGCATACCATTTCTGACATGTGTTGTCATGTCCACCAAAGGAAACACTTCAACTTTGTTTTTCTTAAAGGCAAATTTCTACAGAAACATGAATTTGACAGAGCAATAAACACCATCTGAATCATTTTCAAATGTCTCACCCAAGTTTACTAGACACATGTAAAAGGTGGTGTCTATCATAAAGACCTAAAAGATGGTATGATATCAGAGCCTTTCATAAAGTCCTGAAAGAGATACTTACATTTTGCTGTCACTTTGTACCCTCCTAGAGGAGGGGTGTGGCCTTCCAATGCATCAAATCCAGCGGATACTAAGACCATATCTGGATCAAACTCTTTGGCCACAGGCTTCACGATGGTCCTGCACAGTAAAAATGCAACCGGTCACATGTGGGACTGGTGAATACCTTTAAAAATCGTTCAGTGGAAACGACCTGGCACAACAATAGGAACTTTCCAAGAATAAAGAAAAGTGGAATACAAACATTATTTGAATGGAACAAAAATGTATCATTTCTTTAATAATGAATCGCTATTATTTTAGTATCCCAATTCAGTCTTTTCTCTTTCATCTTTTTTCCTCCAAATGGAAAAACAAACAAAAAAAACCAAACTTCTTTGCAGGTACATTATAAAACCCATCATATTACACATACGTCTGTGGCTGTTTTATCGCACTGCCTATAAAAAACTGCTTCTTCCAAGGGAGTGACTAATGTTTTACAGAGGAAAGTCAAAGCTTTAGTGAAAACCCGGCTTGCTCCAGTTAGTGAGAACTTGGTGTAAATTTGAACTATAAATTTCTTTTGGGAAAAGTTTGCTTTCCCAACTTAAAAAAAAAAAAAATTAAATATTTATCATGGTAGGGGGTGGCTCTTGCAAAGGAGAAACACGAAATTCCCTTAATAGAATCCAGACTACAATGTTAAGTGAGTCCAAAGTCAGACACACCAGGAATGTGGCAGCCTCATCCATGACAGCAACCCCTGCTGGCCCCAGTCAGACACTTCAACACTTCCCTTCTCAACTTCAGGGCTCCCAAACCTCTTTTTCATCATTGCTAGCTTTGAGAAAGAATGACTAATGGATGCAACTGGGCTTTATAAAATTTTTAACACAGGCTTGAAGACCAGTATGCCATCATAAAAATTCAAATTTCAAAAACTATTTACTGAAATGGGGAAACTGCACACTATAATAAATTTAAAACGTAGTACAGTCACTCTTGTGTGTTTGTGAGAGATAACCAAAACAAATATTAAAATAGTTATCCTTTAATAATGACACAATTACTTTAATTTTTATGTTTGTAAGTTTTCCAGATTTTCTATAATGATTACATATTAATTTTATATTTAAAAATTTATTGCATATCATAATCAAGAAGTTGCAGTTATGCAGTAAAAATATTTAGTTGAAACTTACCTAGAAATGTAAATGATTGAAATATTTTTCCTAATAATCCACTACTGTCATAAAAATTCTACCCTTCAAGTTCATAAATACACATGTAAGTGACTTCCCCAGTAGTCCTTCCAACAACTGGTAAACCACATAAATCTGAATTGGCTCACCAGTAAAACTAAGTGAAAACCTAATTTTATTTACTATACACAATTGTATTAAGGTTTTTCTTCAATAAAATTAAAAATTTCTAATACAGCTACATTATTAAGAGATATACTAGGTTCTTCCCCATCCCAGTAATTGCAAATCTTATATTATGGTTGTCATTAAAGGTGTCACATATAATAAATTCACTATTTTTCATGAGTGAAATAGTCATGTGGTATATGTTGGGATATTAGAGATTGGAATAAGTTTTTTCAAAGAATTAAGAGTGCTCTATCAAGATACTGTATTTAATTTTATTAATCCTACGTACTCCCTTAGAAAATGGATGCTGCTACAAAATTCAGTAAGTAGATGATTGAACCAGATTGTCCATGCAATCAAAAGCATCATAGTAATTAATTTTCCATCTCTTTTCCCTCTATTGGAAGGTCATTCTTCCCTCATTTCCCCCCCAGTATTTACCCATCTTTTAAGGCACAACTCACATACTATCTTCTCAATAGAGTCTTCTCTCCACCATGGATATTAAATATAGGTGCATATTTTCAAAGTACAAGAAGACAGGAGAGGAGACAAGATTGCCCATATAATTTTAGAACATTGAAAGCATAGAGATGATCTACAGAGTATAAGCGCCTACAGAGAAGACACAAAAAGCAAGCTAATTTTTCTCTCTCTTCTTGGAAAAACTAACTCAAAAAGCAGAAAATGCCAACAGTCAGCTTATTTTTCCAATCTTCCTATAGTTAATCAGTGGTCAAAAAGCCCCATTCACATTTACAGTACTCTTTTCTTAAATACGATGGATGCAAATACTTTGTTAATACAGACTTACAGGGAAACTATAGCTCTCTATGCCACATATCTCTGAATATATGGAATCTACTGGTTTCTATCTGAAGCAAATTGCACATTTGCTATGTAGGTCACTTCTGAATTCACAAACACAATGTGTTTTCTAGTTTCCTGTGGGTTTTCAAATTCCTTCATCTTATAGGCCTAATCCTATATATCTGAACTCATTCCAAAAAGTAAGAAAAAGATAGAAAATTTAGAAAACGGATACATCACCTGATAGAATCCTTTCACTTAAAAATATACTCGCCTAGAATTATGTCTGGGTGGAAGCTGTTTTTTGAATCAATTAGTGAAGCATGATAGGAACAGAGGCATTATGCTGCAATGCATGCTGTGTGTTTTCGATTAAATTGAAGAACTACATAGCAATAGATGGTTATGGATGGTGATACTGGTAAGGTTCATTCATTCATTTCAACAAGTATATGTTGAGTGTCTACTATGTTGCAAACACTGTCTTGGTCTAAAGATGTGCTCAATTTTGAACTGAATATTATTTACTTTCCTATTGTCAGCATTGAATTCTTACTCTCTTCTCAGATAAATGAATGAAACTGAGACTCCATAGATCTCTTTATTTTGGCAATGACTTTACAAATGTCCATGGAAGTGTTCACTGTTCTATTTATGCCAGTCTAGATTAATTTGTACTCAAAAAGATCTATCGTGTCTGAAAGACTGAATAATGTATTTGAGGGTAAAAAGTAGGAAAAACAATGTAATTTTTATTAAAACAAATCTTCGAAGGCACTAATTTAAAATTTTTTCTGAAGAATTGGGATTTCTGATTAAAGTTAGCAAACAAAGCATACATGTTTTCCTCTCATCTTTTCCAATATCCCACTGAAAAGAAAGTATAGGAAGATACATATGAACTCATGGTTCTTAACAGATGAATAATTTAGATGACTGTATCCATGGGGTAGTATATATTTCCTAAAAGCAATGGCACCCCAGTGGCAAGGAGCAGAGTTAATACCCAGATCTTCCTTTCTCATATCAATCTCCAGTAAAAGGACCCAGAGATCCTTGGAGAAGTGGTTGATTCCAGCACTGCATCAGGGAAAATACTACATGACTCTGGAATATCTTGTGGTGACAGAAATCAACAAAATGCTTAAAAAGAGACATGGACATGTCAGTAGGACATGTGAACCAATAGGAAAGCACTTCCAATGGCCAAAACTGAAACAATTTGAGGAGCAAAATAAATAATGATAGTATTGGATTATAATCCAAACAATTAAACACCAAGTCCATAGTGAATACATAATAATTGAATAGAAAGGAGAGCAAATAGCTCTCTTACAGAAAAATATCATCTAATAAATGTAGAAGAATTGAGGAAAATATATAATTACCATTGGAACAAGACAGAAATAATTCATGCAGGCAGGATTCAAGGATGGATACCAAAATTAGTGGAGTCAGGCATTGTGGCTCACGGCTGTAATCCCAGCACTTTCAGAAGCCAAGGCAGGAGAATTGCTTGAGCTTAGGGGTTCCACCCTGGGTAACACACAGAGACCCCATCTCTCCAAAAAGACTAGCCATGCATGGTAGTGTGTGCCTGTGGTTCCAATGACTCAGCAGACTGAGACAGGAGGATCGTTTGAGCCCAGAAGTTTGAGGCTACAATGCATTATGATTGTGTCACTGCACTCCAGCCTAGGTGACAGAGCAAGACCCTGTCTCAAAAAATAGTAATAACAATAATAATGATAATAAATAAGATTAGTGGACAAAAGTTAGTGGACAATCATTATATTTGCATAATCCCAAAGTATCTTCTGTGAGGTACTAAAAAGGAAAATAATAGAAACTTTGAAATGAAGAAAACACAGACACTACCTGAATAAAGTTAACATCTCCTATGATTGGACATACCGGCATCAATACTCCCTGATATGATGCATTAAAGGCAAAGCAGTCCTATGGCATTTTTTGCTAAAAACATATAACTTCAAATCTCATAATGAGGAAATATTAAACAAATTTAAATTGAGAAATATTTGACAAAATAAGCGACCAGTATTCCTCAAAAGTCATGGCCATAAAAAACAAGGGAAGATTAAGGACTTGTTACAGATTGGAGGAGATTGAGGAGGCATGGTGTCTAAGGGCAATGCAGTACCCTGGATTGGATTCTGGGACAGAAACAGGACATCAGTGGAAAATTTGCAGTCCCATATAAAATCTGTAGTTTAGATACGAGCATTGTACACATATTGCTTTCTTAATTTTGATAACTATACTATGATTATGTAAGTTTTTAATATTAGGGTACACTAGGTGTTGGTGTACAGGAACTCTGCCCTATTTTGACAGCTTTTGCTGTAATTTCAACATTATTTCAAAATAAAATGCTAACAAGTATCAAAATATCAAAATAAATAAAATTATAGCAATTAAAGACGGTAGGACAATTGTCACCAAACAGATTCTTAACAAATTTCCAGAATAAGGAAATTGACTGGAAGCGCACTGGAAAAAAAAATAAAACAAAAAAATAAAGCTGCATATGCACTCATGGGACCACAGAAGAGATGAGAGAAACTCCATCCAATTGAGCCCGTGTCAGGAAAACTCTCTAAACCCATGTTTTTTCTCTGCTGTCACACTACCACAATAATCATCAATACAGAAGACTTCTGTGATCAAAGGTGGGTGCTTTTCTCCACATGCCAAGTAGTGGACATCTGCTGGGTGTTCTCCAATTCAATTTCAGCACTATCTACCTGGAGATAGATAGTGCAGATCCCACAAGTTGAGGACTCAGTCTCTTTAATAGTCTGTTCTTGCACTGCTATGAAGATATACCTGAGACTGGGTAATTTATAAAGAAAACAGGTTTAATTGGCTCACAGTTCTGCAGATTGTACGGGAAGCATGACGCTGGCATCTGTTTGGCTTCTGGGAGGCCTCAGG